TGATTAGATTAATAGTGAATAGATGTTATGTGATATGGAGTATATGTAGCTTAAGAATTAGTAGGGGTAAAAGTAACTATTTAATAGAAATGTAAAAAGTTTTTTGGTACGGATGAAAAAAAGAAATGAGAAAGGTTTTCAGGGACGGAGGAAATATTTATTTATGTAACGATATAATACAAAAAAATATAATAATTTTTATTTTCTCAATATTGATTAAATAATATCTAGATTCAAATATTCTAAAATATAGGCTAGGATCAAAACACCTAAAAACCCAAACCGTTATGGCTTGTGCCCACCCCAAGTCCCCAACTAGTTGTTCATAGTTTCTCCAAAACTTATAGTTTTGACTTTTGACGGATGTTATAGTATTTTTTCATGTTATATCATTGTTTACGCTTTTCTAATATATTATAAATAAATATTTCAATTTTTTCATTAGTTTGCAAGACGAAGTGGATTGCCTCCCCTTCATATGTTTCGAATTTATCTAAATATATACTCCCTCCGTCCCAGGAAACATTTCTCCTTTCTTTTTTCATCCGTCCCAAAAAACACTTCTCATTTACTACCTCCGTCCCGCTATATTCGTCCACTTTTGACTTTTGGAACTGTTCATCTAAGCACTTTGACTCATCAAATTCTCTCAATGTGTAAGCCTAAATATAGTCATGTGTGATCTTGTTTGATTTGTCTTAACATATAGATTATTAATATATAATTTTTTAATATACAAATTACAAGATAAAATGGATTAAAGAAGTGCATTGGATGGTGTGTAAAAATGAAAGTAGACAAATACTCTGAGACGGAGGGAGTATATTAAAAAGTCACTTTTACCCCTTAGTTTTAATTTTCATACCCTACCTATCACATCATACCTTTTTACTAATAATCTATCCATCAAATCATACTTTTATCCATCACATCAAAGGACATTTTTGGAAATTCAATACCAAAATATACTCCCCTTAAATCTCCCTTCAAAATCAAAACTCCTATGTTTTCCGAGACGGAGGGAGTAGTATTAAAACATAGTGACGTACTTTTCAAATATAGTACCATATGTTTTTATTTTCCAATCTAGTATCATTGTTCAATGTCCATGAGTCATTGTTCAAATAAATGTCCAGCGTCACTGGGCATTATTCAACATAAATTCCACCATCACTGGACATTGTTCCGTCACTAGACATTATTCAAGTACTGTTTATAGAATAAAAAAGTTTTTCATTTTTTTCTAATTCCCTAAAATACTTCACTTTCTATTAAAAAAACTACTTTTACCTCTACTTTTTCATACTCTACCTATCACATGATACTTTTTCACTAATAACCAAATTACTACATCTTACTTTTACATATCACATTAGGGACAAAATTGGAAAGTCAACCAAAATTACTCTTTCTTTATTTTTGTCCAAAGTTAAAATGGGAAGGATTTAAAGAAACGCAGGAAGTATTATTTAGTGCAAATTTAATTTTTTTAATATTTTTATATTTAACTTCGAACAATGACAAAGTAAAATAATCCGAATCGTTGTGTTGTGTCCCGAAAGATAAGTTTGTACCCAAATCATTTAAAAAAGAAGAGCCAATACACGAGATGGTATAAAATCTGAAGAGGAATGCTAGGGGTACACCAAATAGTGTACCCCATTCGTCCCTCACCCCTTTCTCCACCACTCAATTTTTTTTTATTTTTATTTATTTAATTTTTTTTTATTTTCTTGCCTTTTATTGTTGTGATGGAGGGGTGAGGGACAAATGGGGTACACCTTTGGTGTACCCTAGCATTTTTCAAATCTGAATCATCACCTGTGCCTAGTGCCTACCCATATATCTTGATCCATGCCCATCCCTGCGAGAAAATATGAGTAGTGGAGTGTATGCTCCGCCTTTTAAAAGTAACTAACCCAACAAGTTCTTTCGTAATTTGTAGTTCAATGGATTGGATCAACTAGTTTGGTTCCATTTTTAAAAGTTAAAGGATTGTTAGGATATTGACTTTTTGGATGGTTTTTGGTTGTTATAACTAATTTCCAAAAGAGTTTTGGCAAATGCGAAACACGAAAATATGAAAAGGTAGGAGTAGCATTTCGAGTTACTTGTTAGCTATTGGAATATAATTATTTATTTAATAGATAAATAAATAAATAAATAAATGAGAAAAAAATAAAAAACAAACAAACATATAAATACAAGAGTAGGTTCCGTCGCCGATAACCTGAACACAGAACCAGAATTTTCCTTTTTTAGGCAATACCTACTAAAATGGGGGGCAAAACACATTCAATTTTCACACACATAATTCTAAACAAGATTTCAACACCCAAATTGATAATTCAAAACTAGATTAATTAATGAAAACTTCACGTGCGAATGTAACATAATTCATTATATTCTAACAATGAATATTAAAGTGTCAGTGTTCAAAATGGAGGAAGCAAAGGTCGTAAAGGTCTCAACAAATCCTGGGCTGCCCTGCCCCTCCCGTTCCATCATCATCGCCTCGTCGAGGAAGGTTTCCACCATATAGCTTCTGTATCTCCTCCTGAATCGTCAACGATAAGCTCGAGGTTAGATTATCAATTTTCACAGAAGTTTTTCATTTTCACAAAATATATCACGAGACAGAGTTAATATATTGATTCAGGCTCGGGGAACAAAATCAACATATGAATCTTGAAGCTAAACTACTGTAGCCAATCGGCAAAGGGGAGGGGGGGGGGAACCATCAACAACAATCATTTAAATACAGATATCAACCTATGATGCACTCAATTTCACAAAATTGAAGTAAATTTTACCTAAATTCTCAATAAATGTCCAATTAACAAACACAATTTCAACTAAAATTACACCTTAAATACTATCAATTTCCCAAAAAACTAATACAATTTTTACCCAATTTCATGTCAATTTTAACTCATATTCACACAATTTAAACTAAATTTCACAAAAATGCACTCAATTTCACACAAACAAATTCAATTTCACCAAAAATTACAATAATAATAAATTGTATAAAATTAAACAAAAATACCTTACCTTGAAATTAACGGCAAAGAGGACCGGCGGGGAAGACTGGCGGTCGAGTGGCGTCGGTGGCGAGTGGTGGTGAGGGAACTCGGTCGAGGGCGGCGGCAGCGAGGGCGTCGAGGGCTGGCGCGCCACGACGAGGGAGAGGGATGGTGCGGCTGGACGGCTGACGGTCGAGGGATCTGGAGCGGTGTGAGCTAACACTGGCGGCGGCGGCGGCGAGGGCGGCGAGTGTTGGCGCAGCGCGGCAAGGACGACGACGAGGGAAGGCGCGGCTGAACGGCTGACGCGGGTTGAGGGATAGGTTTGAACTGATTTTGATTTTGCATTGTGAGACTGAGATCCGAAGCAGTTTTCCGTTGCAGATCTGCTACGGAAACAGGTCCGTAGCAGTTTTCCGTTGCAGACCAGACAAATTCTTGTAGTGAAACATCAAAGTTGGTGTAACATACGTGAAATTTACTCCCAAATTTAAGGTGGGCCTTCAAAGTTCAAATACATCAAATAATTGTTTGCTTCGTATCGAGATAAATATTTACAAATAAATGAAAATAAGAATGTTACATTGGAAAATAATTATGTTTCAGTCTTATTTAGTTAAAACAAAAAATTCTAATAAGGAATTGTATGAAAAATTAACGCGAACTCGTTGTATCTAGCTAGCCTTAGCTTCCAGGTATCGTAATTCGTAAGTAAAGCATCGGACCAGTCACACGCCATGCACGCACATATTCCCTGCATGTATGGATGGCTACAATGCTACGTCACATCTTTTCTCCCTTTTTTTGCCTTTTCTTCTTGTTCCATTATTTTCCCCACCTCATTATTCCTTATATTTCTCGGTCCAAAAGGTGGAATCGCCCACCCCAGGCGCCCCCACCCCCTTGCCTGACAGGAATGATGGAGGATGTAAATCATGGTGACTCAGTCGGCCAAGAACGCTAGACCCGTGCCTACCGCGCACAAGGAGCCTCCTCACCCTTTATGGGATTTTTGGATAGCTCCCACACTGCCGCTTGCGGGATTCGATCCCTGGTCATCGGTCCAAGATTTCACGCCCTTGACCAACTGAGCTACCCATGCGGGCATTATTCCTTATATTTCTCTATATTGGTATGCGGTGTAAACTAAAATTTGCTAGGGTATACTCCCTCCGTCCCTAAATAAAGTTCCATTTTTGACTTTTTGAGAATTTAAGGGAGGGATATTTTTGTGTTGACTTTCCAAAAATACCCTTGATGTGATGTGTAAAAGTAAGATGTGATAAATAGATTATTAGTAAAAAAGTATGATGTGATAGGTAGGGTATGAAAAAGTAAGGGGTAAAAAGGGGTTTTTTAAGGGAAAAGAGAAGTTTATTTAGAGACAAAGAAAAAACAAAAGAAGAACTTTATTTAGGGACGGAGGGAGTATCATTTATTGACACTACTTTTAGTACTTTGACACCTTAGAAAACACGTAGATTATAACTATTTGCTCAGAATACAATTATTGTTTGAGTGTATATATTTATAAAATACTTCCTCCGTTCCAAATTATTTGTCACATTTCTATTACCGAGACAAAATATCAAGTTTTTTCAATTTATTTTATTTACATATTGGTAAAAAAAATTACATATCAAAAAACTACATGAAAAGTTCTTCGAAATATAAGAGGTGTCAAGAATATTTTATTTTATCAAATAACCAATGAAAACGTAGAAATAAACAAAAGTTCCCGCGACTGTTGAAAAAGCAAATGTGGCAAATAATTTGGGACGGAGGGAGTATTATGATTTCAGAGTATGTGGAGTCTCCACAACTTTTTTCATACAAGGTAATTTCTCTTTTCTACTATATTAATTGTTCATTATAATTTTTTAGATATATTAAAAAAATAAAAAGATATAGACCAACGGAGTAATGCCATATGAAAAAAATATTTCGAGACAAAAGGGAATATTTCAAGACACACGCACATGGAGGGAACGGAGTATATAAAGAGCTGAGGCATTTAGACTTTGAGAGGCACGCACAAGCAAGGAAAGGGCAAAGTCCCAAATATAATAAAACTGCGTTTGTTAGTTTAAATAGGGAAAAGAAACTTCAAAGCAAATTAATAAAATTACCAATATTTTAGCTAGGGAGTATTATTTAACTTTCATCAGTAAATTATTTTCTGGGCATCAACAATAATGGTCGTAGTTCATCACCGGCTCACTGCAGTTGAGATAGCCGAATGCAAAGAAGCCTTCGGCCTCTGTGACAGAGATGGAAGTGGTAAATAATAGCATGTTCTTCAATTCCCTCCACTTTGTCTTCTCCCTTATTTTTTATATGATGTCACTTTTTTTTTACTTTTCTCATACCATTTTAATTAATAATTCAATCACACTTCCCCTTCTCCTCTTTAGGTGAACCTTCATAGTCTCCCTTCGTTCCAAAATATATTCACCTTAAATCCCTTAAAAATCAAAACCTAAATTTTAAGCAACTAACACTAAATTTTAATATTAAGCAGTCGTGGCTATAAATTTATAGCCACGACCAAAGAAACTGTTGAATTTTGGTGAAAAGGTAGGATAAAAAAAATTTCTTACCCTACCTATCACATCATCTTTTTTTCTCTAATAATATATCCATTATATCTTACTTTTACCTATCACTTCTAGAATAAAATTAGAATTCAACTACGGAGTACAATTTAATACTTCCTTATTTTAGCATTTAGTCAAAATGGGAAGTATTTTCAAAACCGGAGGGAGGAGATTTTTTTACATAAGATTTTAATGTGTACTCCTTTAGTGTTACTTCTTACTCAGATCCCTTTATTCCAGTATATTAGTCTAATTTTCCTTTTTTAATAAAAATGGATGAACTTGAATTATCAATCACTCTAAATTTTAGAGCAAATTAATACTCCCTCCGTCCCAAAAAGATTTACACCTTTCAAAAAAATTGTGTCCCACAATCTCCTACCCATTTCTATTAAAAAACCACTTTTACCCCTTACTTTTTCAAACCCTACCTATCACATCATACCTTTTTTCTAATAATCTACACATCACATCCTACTTTTACCCATCACATCAAAGGTATTTTTGGAAAGTCAACACAAAATTATCCCTCCCTTAATTTCTACTTTAGTCAAAATGGGTAACACTTTATGGGACGGAAGGAGTAAATACAATCAAATATAAGTTTGAAAGTTATCTATAAGATGAATTGAATAAAAAATAGTTTTTATACTAATGTACATTACAGGTTTTATTTAGTTCAGATTTAAAGTACGTCTAGTTTAATTCAAAAAAGTCAAACACAATGTGCGTGTGTGTGTCTATATGTGTGTGTGTGTATACATACATACATACATACATACATACATACATACATACATACATACATACATACATGGACACATGAAAGGTAATATTTCTATACTAACCTGTAAATAAAATAAACTTAGAAACATGAGATTCTTAACACACATCTTCAAAAGTGTAATCAGTTATAGAACGAAGGGAGTATATTTCATTGTTTAAAATTTGTTTATTTCTCTTTGAATTTCTACATTTTTAATATTTTACTACTCCCTCCGTTCCACTAAACCCTTCCTCTTTCGTTTTTTTTGCTTTCCACAAAACACTTCCACTTTCTATTAAAAAACCACTTTTACCCTTACTTTTTCATACCCTACCTATCACATCATATTTTATCACTAATAACCAAACTATCACATCTTACTTTTCCCATCACATCAGGGGCAAAATTGGAAAGTCAACCAAAATTACACTTTCCTTATTTTTCCCCAAAGTCAAAACCGGAAGGGTTTTGTGGAACGGAGGAAGTATAACTAATTATAAGATGATTGGTAAGTGGCCTTTTGATCATAATTTGTTGTTTTTCAGCATTTGAACTAAAATAATACTCCCTCCGTTTGGAAAAACACTTCATATTTAAATTTTCGTTTTCATCCAAACGCTTTCTTTTTTGATTAAAATGGTTAACAAATCCAAATAAAGTCATTCCAATATACTCCATCTATTTTGTATTGATATGATAAATGATTTGAGTGATTTGTTACTCTTTTTTCTTTTCGACGCTAATGATTTAATTGAAAAGCCAAACTAAAAAATTAAATTTTGTAAAAGTCAAAACAGAAACTATTTTGTAGAACGGAGGGAGTAAGTTTTTGACGAATAAAATCATTACGAATCACCATTTAAAGGGAAAATGCTGATTTGAAAATGCAAATAGAATTACTATTTAAAAACATTCATTCTAGATTTTTTTTAGCACAATACTAAGTTAAAGCACTCGCAATACTCGTGAAGCCCAAGGCTTCAAATTGCGGTTTCTAAAATTCTCTCTATATGTTTGAAGCACTGGGGCTTCAAACCTTTATTTTTTTACATTTTGAATAGACATTTTTCAAAATTAAATTAATAAGATTTTATTAATTGATTGATTTAAACAATAATAATTCATTAAATAAAAAAATTGCATTATTAAATAAGATTAGAATAATAAGAACAAAAAAATTTTAAAAAAGACAATCATTGATTAAATAAAAAAAGACATTAAAAAAAATTACATTACTAAAATAAGATTTGGCTAATAAAAACATAAATAAAAATTAAAAATGATACTCCCTCCGTCCATGAAATTAAACATTTCTCCTTTCTTTTTTTATCCGTCCCACAAAACATTTCTCATTTCTATTAAAAAGTCACTTTTACCACTTACTTTTTCATACCCTAACTATCACATCATACCTTTTTACTAATAATCTATCCATCAAATCATACTTTTACCCATCACATCAAAGGACATTTTTGGAAATTCAATACCAAAATACACTCCCCTTAAATCCCTTCTAAAAAGTAAAAGTCACATGTTTCATGGGACGGAGGGAGTATTACATTGTGTGTTGTTTTGTCTTTAAAATAAGAGTTATTTATAGTATTAGAAATAATTTTTTAATTTTGACCAATGGCTATAATTTGGACCGTTGGAGGGAACAATTGCTTGGCAGCAGCACAGCTGCGTCAAAGGCTTAACACAAGGGATATAACACCGAGATGAGACCTGGGGGATGTTTAACGCCCTCCCGCCGTTAAAACCGCGTTTGACGCGGTGGGCGTGAAGCCCATTTCCGGCCCTCTAACTTACGACCTTTCTGCAAACTATCATTTAAATAATGTTATGATACAAATCGTTACTCCGTATATGGTAGCCGCTTAAAGTACTCCCTCCGTCCCAAATTATTTGCCACATTTGCTTTTTCAATAGTCGCAGGAACTTTTGTTTATTTCTACGTTTTCATTGGTTATTTGATAAAATAAAATATTCTTGACACCTCTTATTTCAAAGAACTTTTTATGTAGTTTTTTGATATGTAATTTTTATTTTTTATTTCTTTATCGATATGAAAATAACATGAATTAAAAAAGTTTGATATTTTGCTTCGGTAATAAAAATGTGACAAAAAATTTGGGACGGAGGGAGTATATGCAAAGCTATAAAACGCTCCTTATTTGCAATTTTTTTATAACTACCGAAGAGAGAGGCTTATGAGGACTTTGCAGTTTCTACCTTACTTTTTACTCAAGTATAGCTTCTAAGAGTTTGAGATTGTAGCAATATTTGGCATCAGTGTTAAAGGTTAGCGATAGCATTTTGAACAGATTAGGTGACAGTAGCCTTTAGTTTTAGCAATTTTTGAATTAATCAACATCATTAAAATTTTATCGATCACACAAACGCTAATTGAAAAACGTTGATCCCAAACAAAGCATGAACTATTGAAATATGAAGTCTGAATAGTCAAATGATTTGGAAAGCATTCTAATTTTAAGTAAAAAAATTTGCACCATTTACCCTCACCTCTAAAAAAATTGCACAGATTCCTTCTGAACTATAAAAATTGCACCACTGAATTCCACACTTTTAAAAAAGTCACATCAGTGGTCCCTTTGTGTCAGATTTGTGAGCGCATTAACCACAAAGGGACCATTAATGCAACGTTTTTTAAAGTTTAGAGACTATTGATATAAATTTTAAAGTTCAAGATAAATCCGTGCAATTTTTTAAGAGTTCAAGAGTATATGACGTAGAAAAGGCTCTTTAACTAAATTCTCTAGTTAATTAAAATCTACCCTTAAGTAAAAACTAGAGTCTGAATATTGAAATTAGGACAAGTAAAATAAAGTGGGATGAATTATGAAAATACATATACACAAGATTCTCTTCAAAAAAATAGTACTCCATCCGTTCTCAAAAACACTATCTCTTTCATTTTTTTTACTTACAACAAAACACTTCTACTTTCTATTAAAAAACCACTTTTACCCTTACTTTTTCATATCCTACCTATCACATCATATTTTTTCTCTAATAATCTATCCATTACATCTTACTTTTACCCATCACATCAGGAGCAAAATTGGAAATCAACTATAATTTAACACTTTCTTATTTTTGCTCTAAGTCAAAGTAGAAAGCCTTTTTTTGCAAACGGAGGGAGTAATATTTTACCATTCTTGGTGTAAGAATTGTATGATCTATCATACTTAACATGGGTGTATACGTGTCTAATTTTTCAAGGCAAGGTCAATGCCAAAGAGCTTGGAATAGTAATGAGATCATTGGGACAGAGCTTAACAGAAGCAGAGCTGGAAGAAATGATCAAAGAAGCGGACACCAACCGGAGCGGCACGATAGACTTCAACGAGTTCCTTGGGCTAATGGGCTCTAAGAAATTGAGTCGTGAGGAGGAGGATGAGTTGAGGGACGCGTTTCGAGTCTTTGACAAGGACAACAATGGGCACATCACAACCGACGAGCTCCGCCACGTAGGGGTGGACACGGTACGGTTTCGGGACGGTTCCGGTTCCGGAACCGCCGGTTCCGGTACCGCCACCCCTTGGTACCGGTACCGGTACCGGACCAGCCGGTACCGGTTCCGGTTCCGGTACCGCCGGTTCCGGTACCGTTTCCGGTACCGTTTCGGCCACCCCTAATTTTGTTTTTTTTTTTGCTTTTTTATTATATTTTTAAAATGTAAAATTGTAAATGTGTAATTGTTAAAGGAAATGATGAAATAAAAAAATCTAAAAATGAAATTGATAAAGGAAAGAATGAAATAAAAAAATAAAAATAAAAAAAAACGGTAACGGTACCGGAACCGGAACCG